AGGGTGGAGGCAAGGGGAAAAAAGGGCTCTCAGGGAAGGGGAGCGACCACAGAGCCCCGAGCAAGGGCCCGGAGTGCTGAGCAGCTGACTCTGTCCTGCAGGGGTCAGACAGTGAGGGTCCTGAGCAAACGCTAGCATGGCTCGTTTTAGGAAAATCAATCTGGGGGTGTACAAGGTGGAGAGGAAGAAGCACCCAGACAGGGCGGCAGAGACAGACTGCTGGATCGCCTAGAGCTGGGGACGCTCCATGTCCCTCCACTGTGGCTCCTCCCACAAGGCCGCCTTAGGTGATTTGTGACGTAAACTCAAAAAAGGCCTTAAACATTTGGTGTTGGTATGAGCTGTCGTGTCCATTTTTATTAAATCAGAGAAATTAAAACAGATATTCCAATAACTTAGTAATCCAAAAGCAGAGTTAAGCATAGCCTACAGAGAACATAGGGACACTGAAAGTTTGAAAATTCTGTGTTTCAAAATGTAAATCAAGAGATTTGAGCTTAATTAACAAAGTGAGCATGGACAGCCTTGGTCCTGTTGGCTGGCAGACCACTTAGTACCCCGGAGAAAGCAAATGTGAACTACTGCTCTGGGGGAAGAGGAGGAGGGAGGCGTACCTGAACCACCTGATAGCCGAGCAGGCGCAGGTGTCTCTGTTTGGTCGCTTCCTTCCCCAGCAAGTGTCTGCTGTTCAAACAAAATCTTTTCGGACCGTCAATACACAGTGCTATCCTGAAAAGCAAGGGAGAAACTGAACTTCTGAAACAATCCAAAGTACTTACATGTTTTTAGTTGCCAGAGTCTATTTGGGATTTGCTTATTCCTAGCGGCCAATACTATTTTCGAATGAGTCACGAATGTGTTATCCTTTAATCTGTTGAAACAGCCCTGAATTTTATTAATACTGAGGTTCATAAATTGTTACAAGGAATCTCCAAAACTGGTATGCTGCCAAGTACTGTTTTAATTTCCAGAATCAGGACTATTGTTCTCACGTTCCTAAGAAAACGGTCATTGGGTATTACCCGTCACACGTTCTGCAACACAAACGGCGACAGGGGCCTTACCTCCTGTGGACATCTTCGTCAGCTGTAAGTGGCAAGACAAATCCTTCTTCATCTAATTTAATTTCAACATCTGCTGAGAGAAGAAAGGAAAAGTCCCTCGTGTGACATCCTCTCAAACACCACCTTCCTGTCCTCGTTCTGAATTCCTCCACACTGCACTAACCAACTGGCTGAAGGCTGCAAAGTAATGACCACACCGGACAATGGTGAGAATTTTGACTTAACGGCGAACACGGTCAACCAAGTCGCCCCAAAGTGAGGAGGCTCGACCACACCAAACGGGGGGTGTCTCTCAGCTTACTGGGCTTTGACAAGAACCCTGCACACAACTGAATCCTTCGATCCAGACAGCGAAGAAAGCCCCCTAAGTTAAAGTCAGACACCCGCGCACCTGGACCCCTTCATCACCAGTGCCCCCAGAGCGTCCCGGGTACGGAAGGGCCTTGCACCCCGACACGTGGTTCCAGGCACGGGCAGGCGCCCCCTTCCTCGCCTTCTGTAAGTGGAGGCCTAGAGGTGGGGAGGGAGAGGTGACCACCCGAAGCCTATGAAGCACGGTGTTCTTCAAGTTGATTTTATATTCATCCTTTTTTTTACAACTAAGGGCAGAAGGTCTTGGCCTCTCCAGTAAGCGCTGTCCAGCAGAATTTCTGTGACAATGGAAACGTTGCCACCTGTGCTGTCCAACTCGGCAGCCACAAGCTACTTGTGGCTACTGAGCATCTGGACGGTGGCTAGTGCAAGCAGGAACTGAACTCTGAATCTTTAAAATTTTCATTAATTTAAATGTAAGTCGCCGCATGTCCTGGTGGCTGCTCTAATGGATAGCAGTGGCCTAGAGTGCGGCGGCAGCTGACAGTGACGGCACTCACTGTGCTCCAGGTGTCCCCACATCACTTCGTCCTCATGTGAGTCTCTCATCTGACAGATGAGAAGTGAGCAGAAAACGGTTAAAATCGGCCCAAAGACATTCCACTGCCACGTGGGTAACACGGGGACCCCAAACAGACAGGACCCCGCAGCCCTGCTATGCCCCAAGGAAGCACCCGGTCCGTCATGCATTTTCAGACCCTCGGTGGCCACCAAGTCCCACATATTCCCAGTGACAGCCCACGCTCAGGTCTGGCAAACGACAGAGCTGCCCACGACTCACCTATTGTGTAACAATAGGGCGTTAACACTTTCGAAGCAAAATACAGCCTGGCCCCTAGAAGGTCCATCAGTCCGACCATCACAGACTTATAAAGCTGGAAATCCACCGGCGTCTCCAGGGAGCAGCACGGAGTCAGAAACGATTTCACTTGATATTTAGGATGAAGTTTTGGACCCTAAAAATCATATGTACAAACATGGGAACAAAATGAAATGGAGGCCCCGAGAATTAAGGTCTGATCAAAACCCCTTTACAGGCATAGCACAGTCCCAGGACACAGGACAAATGCCCGTCTCGAAATGACAATGCAAAATATTCTTGCTATAGTTCGAGTGCAATAATTCAGAATGTCTTTTAAATGTTTCTTAAAAGTAGTCAATGGTCACCGTGAGAAAGGAGAGACGGAGGGAGGGAAAGAAAGGAAAGAAGAAAAAAACATCGTTGGAACTCCCAGAATTGCTTTGAGGGCCTTAAGGACACTCTGCGAAGTTTGAATGGTGGAAAATGTGACGAAGGTGACATTTCGATTTACTAAGAAAAGAACAGCTGTGTAAGAAACAGCACTGGCAACTGGTTATCCACCTGGAAGAGAACTCAGAGGTCTCTACCATCACAGAGTATAATCACCCCAGGTGGATTGAAGATCTAAGTATATTAAGAAAAATAGTATTTTTTAAAATTTAGTAAAATATCTTATTAAAGAGTGCCAAAATAGTCTTAAGCAAGCTAGGAAACTTGGAAGGCATAGCAGACAAGTAGGTCTGACTACAGAAAACTTAAACATCTCAGTATAGCAAAAAGGCATCATAAATATTAAATTAAGCCAAAAAAATCCCTAAAAACTACAAGCCAGAAAGAAATATGTGCGACGTACTTAATAGTTAATATCTGTTTTACAATAATTTATAGAAAAAAGGAAAAAGAACGTAACAGGAATAAGTTAGGGGACACAAAGACAATTCACAGCGAATGTCAATGAACAATAAGCATTTGAAAATACGCTCAACTTCATTGTTACTCATTAAAATATACTGTAAACATGTGACGTGATACTTTTTCATTGAGTTGAATGACAGAAACTAAAGGGACTAATAACACACTGCAGTGACGTGGGGGGAAGGGACATAGCCACATTCATTGCTGGGAAAATGTGAAATCTACAACTCTTGGGGGAAAAAATCTGTCAGTATTTCCTGAGAATGAATCCAGCCTCCAGACTGAGAAAACAGAGGTGAAGGATACGCGAGGATGTTTGTTACAGCACCGCCGAGAGAGACAGACGCAGGAAGAAACTTTAAGGTTTGTCACGGCAGGGCAGGGGGACAAAACCCCGCTCTGTCATGCCACTCTTAAAAAAGAAAGCGTTCGATCTTCAGGTGTCGCTCTGAGGGACACTGATGATGTACTGAGCATAAGAGTGACCGCACCTGTCTCATTTCATGGAGAGAGAGAAGCTGGACGGCGTTTGCGTCCGTGTGCATTTGGCATAAACGCTGCGGCTGATGCAGGGATGGGAGCGCAGCGGTGACTCTGATTTGTGGGCTCGGTACTATTTAAGCCGGTTTAAGAGGGTCGTGGTTATGGTTATTTTTCCAACCCTATACCTTACTCCAAAATGAGCTACCCTCAGATGCAGGCCAACCAGGTGTGGGGGGCCAGCAGGTGCAGAGGTCCAGGTGGGCGAGCCCGTCTGGAGACCCGCTTCTGGTCCTAACCAGGCCGGCCTCTGGCGTGCTTGCTGGGACACACACACTCCAGCTCCACTGAACTGTCAGGTGCGAGCGGAGTCCAGCATCACACTGTCACGCCCGACAGCTCCAGGAGTGCTGAGGCCCTCAGCGTGGCTCTCCGCGGACTGTGACTCATGTGCCCGCAGCACTTGATAAAACCTCCCAAGAAATCTCACGAGCCAGGAAGGGGGTCCTCCAAGGACAAGGCACAGGAGTGGGGTCGGTTTATCAGAGAAGGGCTATCTGGTGACCACAAACTCTGAATGAATGGAAGATCTGCTTTCTAAGGACGTTACTGAGACGGATCAAAACAGAAGGGGCTGAAGAGGTGTCGGGGACGCGGGGGCACTGCCCTCATGGGGAAATAGAGCAACACAGCTCACGCTTTTACCTTATAGAAAGGGCACTCTAGGAGCGAGGTCAGCAGGAGCTGGGTCAGTTGTGCGAGGCTCAGTCTGTCCAAACATGATTCCTCGCCTGAAACAGAAAGCATCCCAGTCATAGCTAAGTTCAAATGTTGACATATGTGATGAGAACGGAACAGTCAGAATGTACAAGGCACTCTTAAACGACACTCAGAAGAGAACATGTTAGAATTAACGGTGCCTTCTTCCCGCCATCGGTGCGATCTCACGTTGACCTTGGAGAACTCGAGGTCCTAACTAGAGCATGTAAAGAGGGACAAAAGATGTCAGTTGGATTAGTGGGATTTTAAGATCCAAAGATCCAGATTTTCAACATATTTGGTGGTGTTGAATTAACATGAACACCATCCTCTTAAATAAAAAGTAAATAAATGAGGAATGGTGGCTCTGTCACAGAGATTCTGACGTTGCTGTGACTGCTGCCGTTGCCACCGGCAGTCCCCCAAGTATACGGTTTCTCAGCTAGGACAGCAGAGTCTGTCTGCCCCAAACCGTTTCCTCTCTCGAGCACATTCTAGCATTCTTTAACTCTGCGTGAACACCAGCATCTGCGACTTCAGGTTACGTCTTCTTTAGGTTACGACGGAAGGAAAAAGCACGATGAAGCGTAAGTACATGTGTGACTTGAAAACACAAGTTCAAGGGTTAATTTTTCCACTCTCAGAAGTGATAACCAACTCACCTTGCAGCTGTTGAAGAAAATAAGGGCTGAATATTTTTGCCATAAAGTTGACTGGATGGCGTTCGATAAGTGAACATGAGTGGAGAAGTTTCAATAGTGTTTTCGGAGGAAAAGAATTAAAACGAGCAAATAAGATATCTTCTAGCTTTCTAAATAAAGCAGAGGCATTTGGTGGCAAATAATTGAGTTTTCCAAATGGTTCGATCAACTCAGAAACCTGACGAGGCGAAAATTTTTCTGCTTGGCAAACAAAAGTTTCTGCCACTGCGTTGAGGATGGGTTGGGAAAGAATCTGTTTTCTGCTGCAGTACTCCATGACCCTGCTGACAGCCTCGGGGGCCAGAGTGAGACACAGTGAAGCGACACGCTGCTCCAAGGCTGTTGTAAAAAATCTGTCATGGTGCCCAAAGTATATGAAAGCGTCCAAGACTCTCCCGAGCTCTTCACTGGTGAAATGAGGGATGTGCCTCACAGCGTATTTACCCAGTTTTAGAACCAGAGGAAGTGCCTGCGTTTGATCTAGAGCCACGAGAGCAGTGAGCACTTGGCTTATCGATTTAGGACTCAGGTTGGGAACTAGTGACAGAGAAAAGTTGTTTATCCTGCTGAGAAACGCCTGGTGTTGGTCTGCTTTCTCAGCGCACGCCTGCAGTACCCTATAAAGGGCCACGATATCCTCGGGGGCAAAGTTTTCCAATTTTTCACCTTGCAGTTGATATATAATCAGGTCTAATGTCGTGCTCTCTGGACCCTGTAGTTTAATCAGAGTTTCCCCAAGGACGCAAAGATTGTGGACCTCCAGGCCACCCCTTTGGAGACGACGCTGGCATTCTGCCACCAGGTTCAGTAACAAGCTACTCTGGGGATCCACGTACAGCAGAGTCAGGGCTTGCAAAGCAGTCACCAAACCAGTGTTTGACAGATTCGAGGGTTCCTGTTCAAACTGAACGCATAGAGCTTGAAAGACACGATTCTCTAGTATCTCCTTAGGGAGCCTGTGAGCTTCTGCTTTTCTTTCCATTTCACAAATCCGTTGTAAGGCTCCTGCTGCCAGAGCGTCAGGCAAAGTCTGCAGCGTGCTTAGAAAACTCAGCACTTCTTCGGATGAGGTGAAGTTGCTCAGGCTCCTGTAAAATACCTGTTCGTCCATGTTTTCAAGATTCTGTTCAAAACTGTCCCGATCAGAGAACATTGCCTCACCAACTGGACGAAGGTCATTTCCATTTTCTGAATGGAACTCCTTACGACGGGCATGATGGAACCTGACCTTGAAAGGCCCAGGGTGTAGTGGACAGGACCGTGGACACAGACGCTTCTTGGCTACCTTGTGAACATGATTTACAGGTTGACTTCTCAGAGCAGCCAGAGCTCCATGCATCCGAAAATCAGGTAAATGACAGAGGTTCCTCCGCAAGGTAATTAAAGCCATGCCATCAGATTTGCAACTCCTCTTGATTTATAACTAAATTAAGGAATAAAAAACATGGTCAAACATATTGAGAACATGACTCATTCAACATCAATGCTTATCAAGGATGAGTACCCTAAAGACATGATTAATAAATATTTCCCACTAAAACAAAGTACCAGAAGGGCAGAGAATCCTCAACCTAAAGCTTAGAAAAGTTGCTGGCATCTAACAATAATCATCACTATTATTTGCCAGGCATTCTTGTGGTTTACACGTGCTAAGTTAATTAATGCTCCTAACAGCACAATGAATTCATGACTTTTGTCATTTCATAGGTGAGGAAACTGGAGTACAAAGAAATGGTTTTAGCCCGTTTACACAGCTAGTTAAGTGTCATAGCCGGGATTCAAACGCGCCTGGAGCCTAGACAGAACTCAGGCCTCCTGGAAGTTGGCTGGTGGAAGGAACTGTTTGATTAAATGTTTTCCGTCATCGGTTTTGAGTCCCACATGCAGAGGGCCCACTATAGTTCAGTTTGGGGGGAGTCAAAAATTATACCAGATTATTGAAGTGGGGGGCGCTTTGGTGCTCCAATTCCTGAGCTGTTCAAAGGTCGACTATACTCAAGGTAACAGGTAAAGTAGCCAAAATTCCTACAGATCAACGTAAAGCAAGGATTAAAACAACAACAACAACAAAACGCGCTTAAAGGGCCCTGAGCTTTTGGATTCCCCTAGGAGCTAAGATTTGGCTACGACGGAGGCAAAAGATGGTCTAATTTAGCAAAAGGCGAAAAAGATAAAACAACGCAGGTCGATCGGGGGAAGGTGGGCGCCCGCTCCAAACAGACGAACGTGCAGGACGCAGGGGACGGGGAGCCCCGAGGACCGCGCTGCAGTCCCGGACGGGCGCGGGGGCCTGAGAAGAGCGGGGCGGGCCTGGGCAGCGGGCGCCTCAGCGAAGCCGCCGGCCCGCGCGTGACGAGCGCAGGCATCTGAGCTCAAAGTCGCGCGGACACCTA